TTTTGTTTCTTAATTCTGTTTTCGTTTTTGGCTTACTGTACCAAAAAGGTCTACTAATTTTTAATAATATAACTTTACCTAAATCTAAATACAAACACAAGAAAATCTATATCGTCAACCGTATGTTGGTAAATTAACATAATTTTATTGATCATTAAATCATCAATATGACGTAGGTAGGATACTTGTGTATTTTTAAGGCCATTACTTCCTTTTGTTGTATTTAATTAGAAACCCATAGAAATACACACTTACCAGTAAATTAAACAATTTTGGACACAATTGAATACTACCATATTAGTTTATTATTGATAATATGTTGAAATATAAGCGTAATCAGTCATATCTTGGAAAGAAAAAAATGAAAATAAACAAATACTGCGAGCATTGATATTAATACTTCAGACATAAATAATTAGGATGGCCCTAATAATTGTCAATCAGCGCTGTTGATTAAAACTTGATAAAGGTCTATATACTTGTTATCTGTATCAATATTGAAAATGGCCAGCTTCGAGTTTACGCGCTAATCACACGATATCAGTCATGTAGAAGATTTATAGTAAAAAATGTTCTGATGAATGAAAAATGGCCAGCAGACTGATAGTACAATGTTTCGTCAATATTTACCAATAGACATTGAACGTGTTAGCCAGAATAAAATCTCTATATGTTCTCGTCATATTAACTTAAACATTTTATCAACACCTTTTCTTTTATTTTAAATATTGACTTAACTTGTCCCAGCTGATAACATGAGTAAATTTTCATCATTGTGGTTTATTTTTCTACAGATATCAATTGTATTCCTTCAATTTTCTTTTATATAATCTCACAAATTTTATTGATAAAACTTTTAAAAAGTGAATTTCATTAAAGAGGTGTTAGCGCTTTGAAGACTTTCGCCGTTCGGTAAATTACAAACAATCGATTTGACTACACAGAATTCAAATAGATATGATGCAAAATTTGAGACAAATCAACTCCATCCATACCTGAGCAAACACCCACTCAAAATATTTTAAAGTAAATAGGTTATTTTAAATGTGATATTTTTCCAAATTCATTATAATAATATTCTTTGTAGAACATGATAATGCCTTTAATAAGGTGGTGTTTAATGCCATAGAGATCCGATAACGTTTAATGTTGTTTTGTTTAGAAAATGATGTTATTTGTTTCCCCAATTCTGAAGATTTGAGTATAATTAAGCCAAAAATAGAGTGCATGCATTTTCTGAGTGTACAGGCATACTAAATAAGAAGTGTTTGTGGGTTTTTTAAAAATATTTTATAGTTCCCCAGAATCTTACAACAAATAATATAATTGCCAAATTGTAAGGTTGAAAACAGTGGAAACACTAGGCAATTGTTTTAATTGATGATAAATTTAAATGGCTTCTTATATCGACATGTTGGATAAATAAATAAATAAAACTGTATGGATAAAATATCCAATAAAATGATAAACCCAACTGTGATTGTACAACACATATCACATATAAACGTATATTACCAACGTCTGCGTTTTGAAATAGTTATACATGACGTAACGGTCGGATAAGTCGAAAATGTACATTAAGACATTGGTCTATCTTTAAAGCTATCTCTAAAAAGGGCAATAGGTACACATTGGATAATCTTAGGTTCATTCTGGTATATGTTAATTTTGGAACTCTTTGCCACGAAGGTGAGAATCCATGGCGATTCACAATTCTCGTCAATTTCCGTGGTTCGTGAGCCTCGTCTTGATTTCACTTCTGCCTGCGTCACGTCTAGTGTATTTTAGAGCGGGTTAGAAACAGAATGCGGCGTATTTGTGACCATCGTTGGTGTTTTAGCACATAGTATGGCTATGATGAAACGTGCGCTAAATGTAGCTGTATTTGTTTTGTTGTTTTTGATGTTGGTTGAGAAGTTAAAAAGTAGAAGTCTGAATAGTGGAAGGTACCGCCCCCACCACTGTCCAGGTATAACACTATAACCAATCTTCGTCAAGTTCTAATCGCTGGTTTCCGTTCTCTATACCCACCGTTACGTACCACCGTAAATTACCCATTATTATTACCTAAATTTATTCTGCACCTCAATAACCTCTTTTTTAAAACCTGTTTTGATTATGTGACCATTCATTACTAACGAAACATTTTTTTAATATAATGGAATAAAATGCAGATATTTCTAATTAGTTACCCGGTACCAGTTTAATTAAAATGATAATATATTTGCTAATTCTAAAGATGAACATCACGTTATTTAGAGATTCTGCACAACAATAACTCCTTTCAAAACTTGTTTTGACTTTCATTTTTCTGGGAGAATGTGCCCAGTCGTTATTTTAAACCGTAATATTATATAATGGAATAAGCTAACATGCATATATTTAGTTATTTATTAGATGGTATTAGTTTTTTTTCTATTAGATATATTTATATAGTTGCTAATTTTTAAGTTCAACATCGTTTTACGAACGGATTCTTTCAAAGCTTCAAGCTTTAATTGTTCACTGGTTTCAATAATGTGTTGGCCTTCTTGGTTACTTTTGGTTATAGTACTTCTAATTAACTTTATAATGTAAACAGAGATTCAAATTTGAAATAAATCACTCGTTTTGGGTTGTTTTAGATTGCAGTATGCACGTTTCGTTATGCATGATTTGCCTTTTTTGGAAAATGTCGAATTTCTCACGGCTTAATCCACAATAATGTGTTCTCAGAAGGATTATTTAACATTTAATAAAAAAAACAAAATCAAAATACCAACGCGAGATAATCTTTCGACTTGGATTCAATTCGGATTTAAAATACCCATCAATTCGATTGACGACAAATAAAGATGGCGACGATCTTGGGGCAACATAGATCGATGGGAATTTCAATTTGTTATATCTTTGTTAATATTGAACGGAATTGAACCATGTTTGGACTGATATTCCTATTAGAGATACAACTTTCACAATAGTGTAGTTTGGAAGGGATTCTATTGCGCTAAAATCACACATATATAGTCTTTAAGACCGAAATTTTGTCAACTCATTTATAATGGTAATTAATGGTTTGCCATTTTTTTTTTTTAACAAAAACATAATCATATATTTTACAACTATTAATATGCAGAATGAAATGAGTTACATTTACAGACCGCTGGAGTAAAGTATATATAAACAATTTAAACAGCACACACATGGCGGAAGGTGTTTTTTCATGGTATCACGTTAATACTAAATAGCCTTGTCTAAATATTGAACAATGATTTAACTGTCAATTTTAAACAGCTTGCCTACACTTTTATAAACTCCTATATTAGTCTAGCCTTTAACCCTTGAACCCATCAATTCGTCAGAGATTTCGCTCTTCTTTTGCTCTAAAGTTAAACTAAGCTATGTTTTCCTGTCCATAGTCAGACGAGAAATAAGAACCAGATTCAGACACACAAAAAATCGTACCCTCTTTTTGAGGACATGTACTCAAAGATTAATCATTCAGTTATACCAGCATTTTATTTAAAGACTTTGTGACAGCAAACAACACTTGTCCCTTTAAAATTTCGCAAATAATGGAGGTTTGTTGCAGAGTTGTCGCTCTTGGTGATATTTGAATTATTTCGAAAGGCGACTTATCAGCAGCGGTTTTATCCATTTTAATCCTTGGAATAATAACTGGATAGACTTTCCCTAAAAAAATAATAATGCATATTTTGCTGTATGCTTATTTTCTGAAATTTTAAAAACACCGAGGGGGTGATGACCTTGGATTGTGTCATGCGCTACTCACACAAACATGTATTAATTTTTTTTAGAGCTGGGCTAACTTAAACATACATTATGCAAGAGCTAAATCTGTCTATTGCAGGTCTTTCTTTAGACCTGAAATGTTATCTAAATTATTAATTACATATTAACCTATCCAGACCATAATCAACTCTAGATGGCATCGCTAGCCTGCGATCTTTGGTCGATTATGAGCCGATTTACTGCATAACTTTCCTTCACGATTTAACGATTAAATGGATAATCGAGACTATGCTGTTTATCGTACTGACTTTAGTAATGATGATCGGGGCTAGGCGGAAATTTCAATCGCCTAGTTCTCGGTTCATAGTGGATCAATTTGAATGAAATTTTCAGCAAATTGCCTTTAGATTTTCTAGTGTTTAACTTTTTATAGTGAGAACTGCCAACTCGTTATCGAATCTCCCATAATGTATCTTTAATCCCAAATACAGTAAAATATATATTTATTTTTTAAAAAAAAGAGGGTAAAAGAGAGTTGAGTGCCACTCCCATTCACTTTTACTAAATTAGCCCACCACGGTGACTCATTGAGTAAGGCACAGACTCACTATCCAGGAGGCCCAGTGTCAAATTCCGATGTTGGCCGAGAAAGGTCCTCTGAGTTTTCGAGCGTGGTTTTCCCTTGACAGTATTTCAGGACAAAATTCATGGCAATGAACAGTGCCTTATAGTCGTTCGGGTGGAACGCAAAATCACGGTCCAATGTACACAATGGCTTGCACGTAAAAGTAGCCTTGGCAGTTTGAAATCGAAATAAGAGTAGGCCGCTGTCCGGGCATAATTTCCGTCATAGCATACGACACGGCATATGTCCATCTTCTTTAGCCCAGTTGGTGTAGAAAATAGGACGTTAACCCACTTTTCTTTTCAGTTCCTTTACTGAATTAGGATAAATCCATTCACACAAATGTAGTTCATGTTAATGTTGGTTTTATAGAATTTAATACGTGTGATATTTCTTTTTATGATATACTTTTTTTCCCAGATCTTAAAATTATTTAATGCTTTAACGGCATCTTTATAAAATGATCATTCAATGTATATATGTAATTCTTGCTTTAATCTTTTTTTTTCTTTCTTTATATTTTTACAGTCTGAACTTGAATGAATGTTTATTTACCTTGATATTTTTGTTGGAAAAATAATAGAAAAAACTCTTTAGAATAAAGTATTATACTTATTTTATATATTTTATTTGCTACTTTCAGCTTATGTGGGAAGATAAATGAACCCTCTCCTTAATACACCTGGACTCGCCTAGATTCTTACCAAAAACGGAGAAAAATCTTTGATGTTTACCGCCTCATATAACCGCCCAAATGCGTTTACCCTTAGTAAATATTATGACGGTACAGTTTTTTATTATATAATTTCCTTAGTTTATTTACAAAATCATGTGTATGTTATGAATTTTCCTCCTTTTTTCACATAAAAGATAATCACGATGTTCGTTTAAAACAAATTTTATGATCTCTGATTATATTTTTTAATATTTTGATTTAATAACGGAATTTAACATTATTAGTATATATCTTTTAGTAAATATTTAATCATATTTTAAAATACAATTTTTTAAACACATGAATTTCCACTCGTTTGTCCTGATATACTTTTAGTTATTATTTTAATTAATTAATGTATCATGGCTTTAATAAAAGTAAGGTGTATCATCCTTAAATATGTTTTATCGTTGTTTATTTTTATTATTATTATTTTTATTTTTCAAATCTACAAAGATAGTGCTAACGCGTTTTTCTGAAATCGCATATTCGTACCTTCAATTGATTTTTTTAATTCATTTATTAGAAAATATAACGAATGTTTTTTGAGGTTTCATATTTGTATAAATATTATCTGAGCGAACGACTTTGACAAATCACCTTGCTGAACAACATTTCTATTATAGACATCAGAGAAATAACATTTTCTTCGATCAAATTTCGTTTTGTAACCAACAGTCTTCAATACTTTTTGTATGCTTACATGTTTATAAGATGTCTATATTGCATTGTGGAATTGTATGGAGTTGATATTACTTCGAGGTATAATATTTTTTTGTGAACAAGTTGTCTGTAGTCCACGTTGCTCAATTTGACTTGTATGGGACAGAAAGGAAATGTTTTAGTATGGTCGCATACATTCGTATTACACCGAACTCACAAAGGAAATTAACGTGCACACAAACTTCAGTCCATATAGAAAAAAAATACACCTCAGATATCGCCACAAATGCTATCCTACATGTGTATATTAAAACCATGTTAATTGTAAACACAATTTTATTAGATATGACAGATAGGCTGTACATATTATTATCTTGAAACAATTTCAAGTTTACATCTGTACAAAATATCTTGCACACACAATGTTGTCACAGAAATTAAATAAGTTTTTTTTTCAAAATTTCTGCTCACACAGACTACTAAATATAAGAAGGAATATTGGTCCCAACGATTCTGTTAAAGAAGAACAATGCAAATACCATAAGATTTTTGTTTTTTCACATATGTCCCAATAAAATTATGTCACAGAAGATGTGTGATATAGTCAACAAGAAACTACCCCCTTTTGATTATATTCCAAAACACAAAATGGTTAAAGTATAAGGTATGCCTAATAGGTTACCACCCGATATTAGGACACATCTGATTAAAATTTAAACTAGCGTAAACTGGTACAAGGTTTACCCGTCGCAGATCTTACATTTTAAAAGAAGCTTCACCCCCCACTATTTAAATTTTAAACATTTAAGACATTATCTGATTGCAGCATTTGGGGCATCTAATAAACGCTTTTGATCTTTACGTGGGTTCAGTTTATGAAATAGTTCCAGCTTATCTCTTTTTGTCTGTATCTGGCAGACATCTTTAATATCTTAATAACAATAACAAGTCAGAGATTATTCTAACTATAGAATCTAAAATCGGCTTAAGAGAATTACTAAAGAAATAATGGACCTTGTATCTAGAAGTTGATTAGAAATACTTTTATTCCACCATCTTTCTTATCTTGTGTGCTTGGGGGCTAAAGATATCGACTAAATTCGCCTCTTTATATAGAGAGCCAGTTCCACCTAATTGGTTTGGATTCATATTCAATAACGGATGTAGAGGTCGCCATCTTGTAAGCGAGAACGCGCGCACGTGAGATGGTCGATTTCATACCCAATTAATCAACCGCAGTGATGAGTTGAAACGAAGAACGTTAGACGTATAACACAGACACAGTATTAAGAATATTACAAGCTTTCTAAGGACCAATATGCTCTTATAATACCCCAATTGTTTTTCTCTCGATTGCCATGTGTCCGAATGTGCGCGCGTGCAAGATTACAAATCGTTCCGCGCGTGCGAACATCTCCAACGGAAATTTTCAGCAATATTTTGACATGGACCTTTGACTTAGAACAGGCGTTGATTTGTATAAATGGTCACATGATGTCGTTATTAACCTCTACTTCCATTTTTAAACCTTATCTCTTGGACACGCGCCATTTTAATTGTTATCCTTGTTTCATTCTCTCTGCCATCCACCTTTGATAAAGTTCTAGGCGTCCATGCTACTATTTATCGGTTCTGGTCTCACGTTCATCAAAAACGGATACAAACCCTTCACACAAAAAACTTGTACAAAATTTTAATCAGATCCTCTTTAGAGATTCACATTATAGTAAAAGAAATAATAATTCATATTCTCAATTGTTTGATGAAGATAATTGGTAAAACCCTTAACTGCTTGATAATAATTTGAATTATACTTTAATTTTCATATGACTAAGCTCTTATTAAGTTTCCAGCCTATAATCTGAGATTTTTGTTGAAATTATAAATTCGAACGCCGCACCAATATTGAACTGGGTTCGTTGTTCAACAAAGAGGTGATAAACTGGTTTATTGATGACCTTTTCAAAGATAAATAATTCAAAATGATGCCCCTTTCTTTGTTGGAATGTGGATCTTTTAAAATTATTGCGAGTTTTTGTTTTGTTTTGTTTTGTGAATAAAGTTTCATTGGTTATTAATATCTATTTAGTACCGTATATTGTTTGCCCTAATAATTCGTGGCAATATCTGAATAATATAATGTATTGTAACATTCATACAGGAAGAACACAGTCCTATACAAACGAGTTTAATCTTCTGCAATACACTATATTGTTCTTAATTGTTTATATAAATGAGGATGTTTGGATTATCTCCCCACCTTGTTTTTTACCCTTGCAGCCCAGTTTGTCGCTTCGGACCTAACTCTGAATGACTGATTTTATTATGACAATGAATAACTATTGTATTATCATTAATTTGAAATAAACAAACGTATTGTCACCAACCCTCGTCAGCACTTTCGTTTTGTGCTGAGTATTGTTTTTCTTTAACCCGGTGAGTGTGGCGACTTTAACAACAATCAGAGGTGGCGTTTCATTTGGTCCACTTTAATATATTTAGTAAACCATGTTATAAATGCCAGAATATTAATACGATTATTTATTGTGTAAGCGACAAAGGCCAGTAATCAGAAATGAAATGAAATTGGGTTTAACGTTCTACTGTCCTGCACCAACTCGGCTATTGAAGACGAGCATACGCCATACTGTGTGCTATGAGGGAAATTTCGCCCGGACAATGGCACTACGGCCTACTGTTGTTTCAAATTACAACTGTCATGGGTTCTTTTACCTGCACGTCAATGTGTACATGGGACCTCGTTTTCTTGTCCCTTCAGAACGACCATACGGGGTCCTTTGCCAGGGCCTCCGGTCTCTACCTCTGACAAGAGGGAACCAAGTCCGAAAATCTCAATGAACTTTCACGGCCAACACTAGGATTGAACACGGGATCTCCAGGTTAGCGAACCAGCGTCCTACTCACTGAGCCACCACGGCTCCCAGCCAATTAGACCTTAAAACAAAAATATTGACTTATGAATACAAATATTTATTGAAGAAGTTCAATTTGGAAGTCTCAGAATGGCGAGTCGTTAAATTTATTCAGTGATACCAGATTGCAGGTCGTAAGTATGTGTTATAGTATTTTGGGTAGATCTAAATAATAATTTAGTTAAAGAACGCGAATACTTCACCTTTGACTTGTATTTGTTTTTAAAGTGGTGATTACTAATAGGTTCACACTACCTGCTGGGGTAATCATTTCTCTCGTAAAATATATTGATTAATCTCATATCACGCATCTTTTAATTTTCTAATTTTCACGCTACTTCGCCTTTGCAGAGAAAATAGTGGAAAAAGAGGAATAATTGATTAGAATTTAAAAAAATCTATTCCCATCAATAAAACTTTAATCAATGTGTAAATTTATAACACAAGGTACGCATGTGAGCATTTTTTAGGGTGTACATGACATTTAAACAAGTTCCTTTCAACAAGATACCAGACTGCACAATTAGGGAGCCGGAAATGGTGGAGACGGATTACATAATGTTTCAAATCAACAAAAAATTTGATTTCTTATTCAAATTACTGTAAAAAAAAATATATCAATATTACCAGATGATTTATTTTTTGGTATATTGTCGATTTTATTGGTATTTTCAGTATGTGACCCTTAAATGTTCAGTATTCATGATTGGCCAAAGTGTCTCCAAATAAATATTAATTAGCAATAATACACCAACAAGTGCATTTAAACATACAAATAATCTAAGCTCAGTTTCTCTTTAATATTGTCGATACATGTGTTCTAACATGTCAATATAACTCGATATCAATGTAAATATTTTATACGGTGTTTTATATATAGACAAATTAGCGGTTTTTATATATCATGATTATGTAGATATAATAATAAGCTAGGCATTCTCCGGTTAAGTACCTATACCAGATAAGACATTTATACCAAAAATTACATTAATGTCAATCAATATTACATTCATTTATATTGCTTTATTGTAACGTGGGAACCCAAAAAAAATTTATAGCAAAAATTTATAGCAAAATGTACACCGAATCATGTAACATTTATAGGCTTTCAAAAATGTTAGTATATAATATTTCTTATATATTTATATTAATCTGCGTACAGTAGTTTACTTACTTAATTTTAAAAAAAGGGTAGCATTTTCTATCAACATCTTGTTGTTCTTGCCTACATAGACTTTTAAACCATACACAATGAAACATTTAATTTTAAAAATTCGTGTCCAAATTATATAAATCAAGATATCGTATCATACGAGTAATTGTTATTCCATAAAAGTGTGTTATTTGATTATGTTCCAATTACTAAATGCCAATCAAAGAATACGCTGTGGCCATTTAAAGTTTACATTGGTTTACATTGATCTTAAGTATCTTACAGAAATATTGTAATAATAATTCTGCTGGATATTGTTTTGGTACAAGACAGAACACCTTTTAATACATGGATGTGCTTAATTACATATTAACAACAATCTTTGCATATGTTTACTTTTGAACGATATGATTGGTTGTGGCTTTAAAAAATATTTTTACAAAAATTCATAAACGTCTTGTTGAGAAATAAATCTGATCAGATTTCATACCACAAAATACCGTTTTTATGTTAGGTCTTGCAAACAAATAACTATTTGAAAAGTCAGGTATTATTAAGTATATCAC